GGAAAATTGGAGCTGGCACCATCATAAGGGATCAACATGGGAACTTCATTCATGCTATCGCCACCCCCCTTGGTGAAGGAACCAATAATCAAGCAGAACTGAAGCTGATATTATTGGTATTCAGTGATGCTTGGAAAATAGATATACCAAAGTACATCTGGAAGCTGACTCTACATTGCTGATTAATTGGATCAATAACACTTCTGAGCCTCCCTGGACTCTTCAAATGATCATGCAAAAGCTAAAGTACCTCAGTCAGCACTTTGAGGAATTCAAATGTTCTCATGTCTATAGGGAAGCCAATTTCCCAGCTCATTCATTATCTAAACTGAGTCATGATCTGGAACACATGACACATTTCAACTGTGTTCAGGAACTGCCACCACACATCAGAGGGCAGATCAGACTTGATCAATTAGATACTCCAGCTTTTAGACACAAAATCACAAATAGGTTCCATATACCCACTCATAATGCCTCCACATCCAGCTCCTCTAATAGATATGGTTAAATTCAGAAGGCCATTACAACCTTCCCAACAGTCCAACAGTCTAAGTTAAGAACACTTTGAACATGAGAAAGCACCAGTCTGGCACTATGAAAGAAAATACTACAGCAGCAGTATGCATCAATAACCACCAATGTTCTGAATCCATTCCAATAACAATATACAACAACAATTTTACAAGAATCTCATTCCATATCTCACTCCAGCTTACACTCTCATACAACCCACCACAACCACATCACACACACACACCACATAAACCAAACAGCTCACACAAAAAAACCATAACTCCAGCCAACAATACACCAATCTCTACAAAACATACAACCATCTACCTCACAATTTCCCTACCCTAATATCATACATCACATGACACCACCTTTTCACAAAAAGCCTTTCTCTTCCCCCACTAATCTAAAATAATACTGCAATCACAGAAGCAAGGATACATGGTTTTTCCCTAACTTTGGTTTTTCTTTTGTAGGTATTTCCAATGAAGGATTGCTAGGCCAATTGGCATATTATCAGTGGGTGGTATCAACACTTATGTTGTTCATCCTGTTGAAAGTATGCCAATTACCTCAATCATTTCACGAATCTGATAAACAAGAGCATCAAAAGCAGAAAAATCACCTCATCCATGAGGTATTCTACCATCTCCAAGACCATCAATAACAAGAGCCCTACTTCACCTCCCACAATCAACAAAATACCACCCAGAACCCACAAGAACCTGGGGGGTAGTATTACAGTTCAAAATTAAACAGGGAAAGGAAACATTGGCCTGGTGTGATAGCCCTTACAATTGACATGTTTGCCAGAATACACTAACCTTCCAGAATGACAACCTACACATACCTCTGTCCAACTACCAACACACCCTCATCACCCTAAAACCAAATCATCACACTACTCTCAGAACACACAAGAACCTGAGGGTAGATCCTTTTCCACTAACAAGTTTGTTTCCTTTTGTAGGTACTATGGATAGATTCAGAGTATTGCTGCACTTACAAGGTGTGATATTAGCAATCTCCGATTCTCAGTCCCTTGCAAATGCAGCAATTCTTCTGGGCCTATCAGAAGGGCAATCTTAAAATACCTCACCTACAGCCACACATCACACGCAAAATTCACAATCAGCAGGGGTCACATACCTCCAGATATAACAACAACAACAAGAATAACAATGAAGACCAAGTTTGGACAAATCAGAAGCTAAGCAACCACACATCCAAGATGTCATCTCTTCTGTTTTCTCACCAGAAATAGCTGTATACAAAACAAGCTGCATTTTGTGCAGAAGTTCCACAGGAAAATGAAGGGATTCAGACCTATGTTTCAACAAAATAAAGCCATCAGTTTCAAGCAGCAGAAGATCATATGCTGCAGCAGCAATACAAGTAGCCATAATTTATCTGTAAACATTGCAATCTCCAAGATTTCTTGGATGATGACACCAGGAAAATGTTCACTATTTTCTGTCAAAATAACCAGGCAGAATCAACATACATGGCCATCTTCTGGGGTCCCTTTTGGTAACTTTCTTCAACTAGGCTTTCTGTGGTTACCCTGGCAAAGCAAAGTTGAAGAATGTGTGGACCGTGCTCATTTTTTGTCATACTCCATAGAAAGTTGTATATGGAAAATGCACTTCCAACTAATGTGCTTAGTAAAGTTAGGATCAATTTGTATAGTTGACCTAGGCTTTTTTCACCATTTTTTTCGTATACCCAGTAGTCTACCAATGTTGGATAGACAACCAGAGTTTCTCCATAGATCTAACTTCATATAGAAATTTAGGTCCATTTGATTGTCTTTTTTGGATGATCAAGTGTACAATCATCTCTTGGGAGGTAAGGTTTATGTCCCCCTATAATTTACTTTATATTTATGAAAATTAACACTAGGAACAAGGCCTAGTGGACTTTGATTGAAAAAAAAAGATTATTAGTTACAGCCTTAAACTAATTATGGTCTTAATTTCTCCCCTCAACTTGACCTTTTGAGAGCCATTACCCCCTGGACGCTGATGTGGCAAAAATATGGGTGCACTCGCTTGCCATGTGAATTTTTCTGTATATATGACATTTTTTTGAAAAATAAAATATATTTTTATCTTTATAAGTATGTTACAATTGCAAGAAATAACTTATTATTTCTAACATACTTATTGCTCTAAAAATGTATCCATAGAGTAAATTATTTCTTGCAATTGTACACTCTTTTTCTCTTTTCTTTTAATACAATGAATATTTATTTCAACTGTGTATTTTTTACTTGTTTCGAGTAAAATCTGAAAAAGATACTATTTTTAGAGCACCATAATTAAGAGCTATATAAAAAAATTATAGCCAAAATAATTAATTTCAAACTATATATTTTATAACTTTTTAGATGTCTTGACTATTTATTTCAATTGTATAAATCTTTATTTCAGGTCAAATTTAAAAAAAGATTAACTAAAACTTTATATTTTTAGCCAAATAAAAAAATTTAGCATAATAATATAGTTCTATCCAAGTTTTATTATAAATTGTATTCGAAAAAAAATTATCTAAAAAATTAATATACTTAAAAAGGTCAAAATATATTTTATTTTTCAAAAAAATACCACATATACAGAAAAATCCACGTGGCAGGCGAATGCACCTACACTTTTTGCCACATCAGCGTCCATGGGGGTAACGGCTCTCAAAAGGCCAAGTTGAGAAGGGTAATTAAGACCACGAATAATTTAAGGCTTTAACTAATAATCCATGTCAAGTTTAGGGGGACGGTAAAGTATTTTACCCAGAAAAATAGATAAAAGAATTCCATAACTTTGCATTTATTTCACAATTTTCTAAACAAAAGCAAGTTAACTGATTTTGGCTTTTTTTTTTTTTTTTTTTTTTTTGAA